GGGGGGGGGGGGATGGCATCGGCCCCACATGCTGAGACGGCGAGGGCAAGCGCTTGCGCGCATGCATGCCGCGGCGCACCCACGCCGCGTTGGCACACCTGCAGCGGCGGCAGGTCTGTGCGGGCGAGCAGGGCTGCATTAATAAAGAGCGGCTGGTCGGCCACGTGCATGGGGGCGGTCTCATAGAGCAACGACGTCCGCAGCACCTGGGCGAGCGGATCCAATCGAATGTGTTGCAGATTGCTGACGACAGTGGCGGGAGGGCAGGTGCGCTCATACGGCCGAAGAGAGGGCGGCCGGGGGAGGTGGGGTGGTGGCGGGCTGAATCGAGGACAGCCAATGGGAGTGGAGGCGAATGGCCACTGCAATGCAATGCAGGCGGACGACAAGCAGCTGCTGTTGCGCAGGGACGGCGCTGGGCGGTGGCCGCAGCGCATCAGAGTGCCGCGCCCCTTGAGCAGGGCCGACTCAGCAGCCACACATGGGCACGCTTCGGGGAGCCTTGCAGCACGCGCACCTTGATGCCGTATTTGCTGAGCGCCTTGATGCCGGAGACGACATGCTCAACCCTGCTGCCCTGGGGGAGATTGGGAGGGGCGCGGGGCTCGGGTAAGGGCCGGCCAAGCTTGCGGCTGCCTCAGGGGACGTTTCGCCGTTGTTCGATGGTGAGCGGCGTGCCAGGGGGTGGCTCGCCGCGCGCTGCCAGGTGCTGGTGGCCATGGGTACAGCTCGCGGCCGCCATGACACATGACCAGCGCACGACGCATGCATGGCGGTGCGTCTGCGAAGCGTGTGCGCTGCGTGTGATTGGAGCCTTGTCTCACCTGGTTTGACCCGAGGGCGATGACCACCTCTGAAGACGGGTCAGGGCCATAGCTGCCCGAATTGTGGTGCGTAGATGCCATGACGCCGCCGGGGCCCCCGCATGCGTGTGGTGCGGAGCTGCATGGCCGCGAAGGTGGGGGGGAGGGGGTGTCACGGGTCATGCGCCCGGCTGGATAAGGTCGCACAAGTTGCACCGCAGAGGTTTCAGCGAGTGGTTGCATGTGCTGCGGCTGCCACGCTTACCTGGCCGCCGATGTTAGCAGTGGCGCATGCTGGATCACCCCTGGCGTTTGTCGCAGCATGCGCTGCGCCAGGGCTCGCATTTGTCGGCGCGGGGCCAGCGGCGGCGGGCGTGAAGCGCAAACCACTGCCGTGCGCCAGGACAGTCGTGCCACTAAGCAAATAAAGTTACCGTATTGGTACGTAGTCAGATTGGATGGTTGACATATAATAAACAGGCGCATCAACAGATCTTCGCTTTTGTGATCTGTTCGGAACCATTCGCGACGGCCCCTTTGTGGCAATACTTGAAGCAGTGGTTTGTTACATATTTGAGATTTTCAGAAGCTGTAATTCTGTGTATTTTGCAGTTTACCGACCTACAGTTGCAGGACCTTGCAGAGCCTGTCGCGCTTCAGCGGCTGTGGAGCCCTCTACCATTGTATTTTCTTGGACAAGGTCCGCATAAGGCGGGGCTTGGGCGTGGCATGGCGCAGCTGCGCGCCGAACACACCACATTGGGGATGTTGATTGTGCGGTGGCACGCGGCGGCGCCGGGCGAGGTTCTGCGTGCACAAGGTCGGCAGCAAGGCGTGCTGTGTCCGACTTGGTGGAGCCCAAACACAGGCGCCATACCAGCAGGATAGCATACGTTTTTGGCGGGCAGCGCACGTGCCTTTACAGACACCGCACGACTCGCATGATGGCGGCCCCACCCCAGGGCTGCGGGTGCGGCGACGGTCGCGACCTGATGCACCGCCAGGCGTGGAGCGAGCAGGGCCCCCGCACCCCGACGGCCGCCGGCGCGGATGCCGCGGCGCGTGCGGCTTGGTCCGCCGCGGACGGGCCTGGCGTGCCCCGCGCGTTCATCTTGCTCGCCCTGCTGGTTGGGTTTGGCATCGGGCGCGAGGGGACGCTGTTCCTGCAGGCCTTTGAGAACTCTGCAGGCCAAGAGGCTGCGGCGTACGAGTGCGCCAGCCTTTCTGCCAAGGTGAGGGGCAACTACCGGCCGCGCCGGGCCGCGACGCGCCGTGGGGCGCCAGGGCTCGCCTCAGTGGTGCCGCGCTCGGCGCGCCCATGCTCCTGGGCTTTCGGCTTATGGGCTCCTCGCAAGGTTGCGTGTGCGCACGCTCACACACAGGAGGCTGCCGTCTGGGGCCCGTCCCAAGCAGCAGCCCAGCAGGCCGGCGGGTGGGGCTCGCGCGGCGCGTGGCGGAGCCCCCTGATGCGTTCCCCCCTTTCTACTTGCCGGCCTTGGGGCCAGCAAGCAAGCTTGGGATACCCCCTGGACGGGCCCCCGTTGTGTCCCGCCTGTCCCCGCC